ATATCTCTCAATATATGCAACCTTCAAGTAGTGTGTGTAGGATAAAAACAAGGTAGCTATTGGCCCTCGACACACTGAAGTAATCGAGGGATGTGAAGCCTGGAGCTCTTCCAGCTTCAATCACATATATATAGCTTTAACTATGTAACTTCAATCCTTGTCTGCCTATGGCTAACAGTGCCGATTGAAGATGTACCACGAAGGTGGTAGAGAGGTGACTGAACACCTCGAGGCGCAGATCGCGTTTGGCGATGGCGGATTTCATGTGGAGCGCCTGGACGAAGCGCGCTGCGTGGATGGCCAACACCAAGTTTTGGTGAAGTGGCTTGGACTTGACGATGAAGAATCGTCCTGGGAACCTGCGGCGAATTTTCTGGACGACATTCCAGTCGTATTTCGCAAGTGGGCGGCGGCGAACAAGGAATACCCTGCCGTGGCCGCCCTCATCAAGACACTGGACTTTCCGTAGGAGGGGAAGTGTTCTGCAGCGTGCAGAGCAATTCGGTCGCGCGTTAGTTTGACCCATTGCAAACACACACACTCCGTGTGTGTGGCGTGTCAAGGTTCCGATACCTTAGTGGAGGTACTGAGTACTTTAGTTGAATGGTAGTCAGTAGACGCCTCGTGGCGTGTTTAACCTCACTAATATCAGTGTGTATATTTGCTGCCTTGACGAAGGCCCCGTGGCCGAAAGCCAAGAAGAAGCGGGAGACAAAACAGTGAGGTTATTCGGGATGGGGCACTCCTAAAGGGTCAATCCATTTCATCAGATATATTACTCTGCACACATCGGATCATATATTACACGCAAAATATTTCCCTTGTTTCGGTCTTCATCACAGCAGCAAGCAACTATTCGCACTATAATTCCTATCAATGGTAGCTCGATGAATATATTTCATAATTGACCCCGTCGCAGCAATGAGTCCGCTGCTTTCAAACGAGTTTTGTTGACACTAGTCATTGAACCACCGTTTTGAATGCTGTGAATCTGCTTATTTCTTGTACTCGCTACTTACAATGACCACATAACGCACACATAATCAACTGGCAAAACGAACCACCACTAGCCTTAACGGCTTGGACGCTCACACTCTGGAAGTGATCAGCCTCCTACAGCACGCTGGCGAATCGCCAGAGACCCTAGCATGTATTCATTCCTTCGACACAGCCAAGAGACAGAAACGTCCGCGCCAAGCTGTGTGCGCTACTGTATCACGCAGCAACACACAGAGCATGTCTTGGACGTTGCTGCCTCGTTGGAAGTTGGCAAGGTTGGCTGCCATGTTTGGGCGACCTTTCCAAATCTGGGTATCATGCGGTATTATGATGAAGCTATATATTATGATGACCGCAGTGTGTAAATAACGTATCAGCACAGCCTAACGGTAAAGTTTGGAGCTTTCATGCTGGAGGTTGCGGGTTCAAAACCCGCCGATGACTCAACTTTTACTTCGAAGTACTTATATCATTTATGAGTTTGCAATACAGCATTGAAGGTTGAGTTTGTCCTACAATTCTACCGGTATTACCACCAGCTTGATGAAAACTGGATTCAAATCGGAGGCACAAACTTTAATTCACACTGGTAGTGGTGATAAATCGACGACTCGCTGTCTATCGGTCATCATGGTGGCTGCATGGCCAACCTTCGCCCCAATCATCGTATATCCCTATTGACTTAATGCCCCAAAGTTTAAATTGCCCTATTTCATTGTATCGTTTCCGTACTCATGGTGAATCTATCCAAGATATTGTGCCAAATCCGTGGTTTGACACGATAAACAACGTGAATTTTGCATTATTCGTACAAGTTAAACGACGGGGGTTTCGTGCTGACGAGGTGCGTAGATGACATGACGCTTCATGCTGGTGAGGTGAGCTGCCGTTCCCAATGGGCGTGCCGGGGCATTCAGAGGGTCTGGAGGGGCGCGCGGTTGTGGTGGAGGCATACCACCAGGTTAGCGAAGGATTGGTACGTTGTTTGAAGTCGGAATATTGAATAATGAATGCACTGCGTACAAAAGAAGTTCAAAAAAATTTCCCTCTTACTTTGGGGTCGCGTAACTTTTCGAGCAAAACGGTCTAGAACACGCTGAAACTATTAGACGAGATTTTGCGCTGTTCGATGCACCAATCAGGGGCTAAATGGAGTAAAATTAGAAAAATCCCGCCAATAAGAAGTTGAAGGTGACAACGGTTGCGAAACAGACTGGTATCCACGATGCAATTGGTGCATAAAAAAGCGCAAGATCTCAGCTTTGATTGGCTAGTTTATGGACTTTCTGGAAGTTTTTGCTTGCTTTTGAGATACATGTGCTACGCATAGAAATCCTGTACGACATCCATATCACGAACAGTCCTATTTTGGCCAACAGGTGACCGCCATGGAAGGCCGATAAAAATCTATTGGTTATGATAGTATTCACATCTTCTTGATGGTTGAATGAATTTCACCCTGAATTACAGACGGCGACGGAATTTAAGGAGCACCGAAGTTATTTCCATGTGGAAATATTTTTAGCGAATCAAATTTGAATAAGTTGAATGTTTGAATTTTGTTGGACTAAAACATTTCACGCGGCAAGAACATTTAAAATTGATTTAAATATGGTTGTCATCGCCAATGCAAACAATCAGCCCAACCCAGATGCCGCGGAAGACTTATCCGATATCTGTTTAGATTGAGATGATTGGCTACTCAAGGAAAGAAGCCCTCGTGATCTGGCCAAGAGCACTGGGATCCCCCACACAAACATCCAGCGCTGGAAAACCATGTCTGCCAAGTACCTATCCTTTGAAGGCAACAAGAATCGTAAGTATCTCAGCGGTGGTGGACGGCCAGAGTCACTGCCAGACTCCCAGGCACTTGTTCAATTCATGGACAAGATGCGAGATGATGAGCGCGCATTGACTGACATCCACGCGCATTATCAACTTCCTGAAGAAGCATCACAAGCCGTGGTTGATCACTACCTTGGCGACAACACTGGTGACCGAGGGTACAAGGCTCTTCTTCGACTGCTTGAACGCTTTTGTTCATCGTCATGGATTTTCAAGACAACGACCAAGGAAGTCAAAGCGTCTGCAAGGAGATCTGGAACAAATGCGGGCAACTTTCGCGGCGGACTTCCACAAGGCACATGACGGCTTTGGCACTCATACCATTTACGTAGATGAGACAGCTATGTACTACGACATGCCGCTGACGTCAATTTGGTCCCGCACCGGCAAGAATGCAAAGATCAGTAGCGGTTAGAAGCACTCATACCGCATGACTGCGGTACTCACGGTTCGAGCTGATGGAACCAAGCTGCCGCTGCTTCTGATTATGAAAGGCATGCCAGGCAGTCTGATTGAGAGGAACGAGTTTGACGAATTCCCAATGGGCCACCACTATGCTGTCCAAGAAAACGCTTGGATACAGCGCGGCAGAAGCGACTTGCCATGGTAAAAATGTGATCTTGGCATCGTTAACCGGAAAAATATGGTCCCACAAGGCTTGTGTAAATACCCCAAACAGTGACAATAGTGATACAGTATTATAAAACTGTTTGATACAATAAATGCACAACGCAGAATAGAAAGGAAACAGAATGCCAGATGCGAACCTCGAAACTGGGACGCCAGATTCCACACTACCTCCGTAATCCAAACCGATACACTAAGATATCTTCTCCGTAATTTTTCAACAAATAATCATATTCAATGTATAATAATGACTCTATCGTCTGGCGGATGGTTAGCGGGCTTCGGTTCAGGATGGATGGCCGTGTACTATCCCAGGCGTGCAGCTATCCTGGCCACAAAAGTGCAGATGGCGCTGCCATAGAGGCAACGGTCGTATGACATGTCTCTAGGTGCAAAGTTCGTACGCCTTGGTGGGCTAAGCGGAGAGAGAGAGGAGTGGACATGGTCATGTGACTTTTATATAGGACACAGCCACGAGGACAGCCGTGGTAGTCACAAGGGCTGTAGCTGTGATGATAGGAGCTCTCGTGGTGGTTAAATGGGCAACGGTCATGATTATAGTGTAATCGGTAGGGGTATTGCTCGTATGACGTGACTGTTGGGACTTTTAGAGGAGGTTTGGAGCGATCCCATCAGTGTTAGAAAGGGTTGATCCTTAGAGACATCCATGTTCCAGGCGCAGCTCTCGTGGGTATAAAGGTACCGGTGGTGGTCGCATGTACGCTTGTTTTAGTGAAAGATGTAACCATGGTGGAGCGGTGATAGCGATAGTGGGAGCCGTGATGGTCTTAAGCACATGGGTAAATGTGACAGGTGCAGATTATGTGGGGCAGTCGTGATGATGGCGATCGCTCTATTAGTTACAACCGTATAGATTGTGGTTACATGAGCAACAATGACAGAGCGTTCGTGGTAACATCATAAACCGTGCATATTACAGGCGATGAGGTCGTGCGATCGTTTTGATAAGGATGGTCATGGTGATGATAGGGGCTGCCATGGTGTTGTGGTGGGTGACGTCATCCAAGGTCAGCTATGAAACAGGTAGTCATCAACCGAGGCCACTAGGAGCCGACCTTAGGCGAACGAACACAAAAGTCCTTAGTATTACTAGTAGTACTAGGGCATAGAAAACTCAATCCAACTGCCCGAATCTTACGCTAGTTCCTGCAACGCCGTCGTAACATCAAGTCAAATAAATGTGTGGTTTGCAAGGTGTCGGCACTCCCCTGGTTGTTTGTGTTGACACTGGTGTTGGAAAAACACACGTGGTCGGCATGAGTAGCCGTCCTGATTTATTCAGGAAGCCGTGATGGAATGGTCGTCATGGTAGGCTAGACACATCTACACACTCTTAAAAACAAGTTTGTACCGGTCTATTTACTCAAACTCTCCTTTATTGACCAAACGCTTAGAATATTGGGAGCACACAGAACATAAATTTATGACTATGGCTACGTATTGGAAAGAAGATTGTGCTAGTACAAGGTTAGCTTGAAACGGCGACGCCAGCATCATATTATTCACCCTAAAACGCTACACTATTAGCACCGGCATCATTTTCGACATTCAGTATTCTGAGTTTATCCGAAACGGCACACATTTGAAACCGCTCTGTATCAACATAAATAACTCACAATTACAGTAACCTCTCCACGCGATGAGGTTCTTTTCCGTTAGCGAAGTGGCTCACCTGGAGCTCTCGTTCTTGGCTGGTACTCGCTGTCCTACTCAATTCTCTGAGGAGCATAAGCGGTTAGCCGCACTGTTCAATGTACTGTACATCGATCAGTGGATCAAGGACTCAGCAAGTTAAGGTGTGTGGTCATAAACTACATGATTCGCATCTGCGGGCAAGAGGG